ATAGCAATTGCAGAAGGATTATCATAAGAGCTAGAGAAAACAACAATATTAGGAATAGCATATATACTATGTCAGTCTTTAACAGATACTTAGGTTTTTGGTTAAAATTTGTATCTGTTGTGTTATACCAGTCAATGTTTTTTTATAATTTTGATTGACTATTCCTGATATTTTTCTCTTTCTAAATATTGGCTATTATATTTTATTTGTGTACTTCAATATAAGCCAAATCTGCACTAGAAGATATTACATACATTTTTAAAAAATGCAATATTATCCACTACTAGCATGCAAACTTCCAGAAACATTTGGTTGACACTTGCTAGAAATAGAACACTGCATTTAAAAAACATTGGGACAATCCATCAAAGGAACTCTTTCATGCAGATTTGGGGCACTCTCCAAAAAACATCCTAGGCTTAGGGAGGGTCTGGAATATTTGTGGACTTTGCTTTCCTGGACGAATCTGTTGCTCTGGAGAGCTCTCAAGACTTAGCTACACAATACATTCACTACATGAGACCAATTCTTCCGCATGAGAACTTTGCCTGCTGGGAATTCTGCAGTCTTCCACATCAAAAGTCAGAAAAGGCTGGAGAGGGCAGAAATCACATACAGAATGAACAAGACTGGATGATCTCAGATTTTCTCCATCTCTCTTTTCAACAATTAATATCCATTTTGGAGATGAGGAGGACAGCAGCAGATAAAATTATCCACCAGGAAGAAATGTAAAGGGGAATAGGCTGGAGAGGGCAGAAATCACATACAGAATGAACAAGACTGGATGATCTTAGATTTTCTCCATCTCTCTTTTCAACAATTAATATCCATTTTGGAGATGAGGAGGACAGCAGCAGAGAAAATTATCCACTGGGAAGAAATGTAAATTTTATTTATTTATTTATTTATTTATTTATTTGATTTTTACCCCACCCCTCTAGACCATGTCTACTAAAGGGGAACGGAAAACATTAACTAGTGGAGTAATGGTTTTGGCCCCTTGAGGATTCCTTGGTGTGACAGCAAGGACAGCTCTTGAAATTTCCAACATAATTGCTCTGTAGAGTAAGTCTTCCCATCTGTGGCAAATGCAATATGAGGTCAGTCTCTTATACTCTTAGGAATAGTTTAAGAGGATAATCTGAATGAACCAAATATTGCTGAACTTTTTAAAAATGGTTTTCAAGTCATCATTTGCAATATATAAATCTAACCAATGTTAAATAAATTGCAAGTAAGATCTGCAATAAAATGTTGATGTACTTCTGTTATATAGTCCAGCACAGCTGGACTTAACAGCCTCGCTTATCCTTCCAATCACTCCCAGAGCCCTGTTCTCTTCCTGCTTGGCTAGCCACTCAGCAGCCATGCAGGGAGACTTGTCCTTCCTCCCACTGCCTGGAGTGGCCAGGTGAACAGGAAGGGAGCGGAGCTTTGGGAGCGATTGAAAGGATGAGCGAGGCCACCACCACCGGACGCGTGAGTTAAATTCAGCTGTGCGGGGATATTAATTGGAAGGATGAGCGAGGCCACCACCACCGGACACGTGAGTTAAGTTCAGCTGTGCAGGGATATTCGTATATGAATACTGTACCCCCATCTCTAGTCCCCATAAATCAGCATTGACTTCATGGCACATTGTTGTTGTTAAGTAAATGCTTGTGTTTACTCCAGTGGGATTTACTGCCAACCATGTAGAACAGCATTAAAACTATAACACATGTAGTCTGAAGGACTCTCTTAAAGTTTGACTATGGGTTAGATTCCTTGTTAGGATTTCTCAGTAAGAGTTTATGAGACTGCTGCGTGATCGTCCAGTCTGGGCAGCAGCCTGGGTTAGGATTTCTCAGTAAGAGTTTATGAGAATGCTGTGTGATCGTCCAGTCTGGGAAGCAGCCTGTATTCCCTTCCCCGCCTCCTCCAGCAGCTGGCCACTCAGTCAAGGAGATGAAACAAGGATTCCTGCAGGACTGCCTTTGAGTGGCCAGCTGCTGGAGGAGGCAGAGACTGGACTCCTGCCCAGAATGGAAAATCACGCAATGGGGAAAGATGGAGCAACATGTGTCAGCTGGTGAGTGGAGGTATTGGTGAGGGGGGTGGGGGAAGGGAATGCGCAGCAGCACAGATAACTTATGATGAAGGGGCATGGCATACTTCATGTTCATCTCTACTCCGCACCTCTGCCTCTGCAGCCAGAGACCTAAATCACTGAGTCATCCAGCAATTCAATAGATACAGTACTTTATTTGAAATGTATGCCAAAAACAAAAATCCATTTGCAACTACAGTACTGGTTTTATAACAACTTTTAACAAAGAATCTATGAGAGTTTGTATACACACAGAAGATAGTTCCAGAGATGGGCATGTGTGATCGACAATGGGTGTTCATTTGTATATGATACAAACTGAAAGAATAAGAAGGGGAGGTACTGTTTGGAATGGTGTAACATGAGTGATAATGAGACAGACAGACTGCAATACATAATTAAAAGAGTTTGGGCATGACCTGAAGACAGAATATTTAAGAGTTTAGTACACAACTCTGATGTTGAACCTTGTTAACCAGTAAACAGGAAGAAAATCAGTTATAAATATGTAACACTATGGATTACCAAATAATAAAATACTCCTTGTTGCTTTTTATAACCATAACTATTGTTTGAGCACTGCCATAGGGAAAAACAAAGGTAGAATTTAAGAACCAAATGTAACAGAATAAACCTTAGAAATGATAATACTGTACGGAAAATTGAATCCTGTAAAGATTCTGGTGGAAGTATAACCCTCAAAAGGAAAGAGTGCGAAGGTATCAATGCTTATTCCAAAGAGGTGATTTATAACTTAACAGCCACAGGATAAGGGAATGCCCTAAGTTATGCTTCATAATGGGATCACCACTCAATTTTGAGTTGTTCTTACTTAGGTTCAGAATTTTATATTGCTGAAAAAAAAGTAAAACTCCATATCCTAAACAAAGTTCATCTCTTTATCTAGGAATTCCTCTTTTCACCTGTGCAAAGAAGTTCCATAATAACTGGTGTAGCTCAGTATGAACTCCATTGTGCCTCCCAGGAAAAGGTCCAACTGAAATCACCCAGAGTGTTTGTGGCTGGTGGGGTTAAATGCATTGCCATCTGTGTGGCCTTAGGCAAGCTGCATGATCTCAGAGCACCACCAGAAGGAGGGACTTACTATCGACTTACAGATGGCTCAACTTACAGACTTTTCGAGTTACAGACTTCTCTGGCCACAAAATTTAGGTTCGACTTGCAGCCGGAGAATTGACCTACAGACCAGAAAAAAACCAAAATGGAACAAAAACGGAACAAAAACAGCCGGTTATGGGATTAATCGGTTTTCAATGCATTGTAGGTCAATGGAGACTCAACCTACAGACTTTTCGACCTGAAGCCACTGTTCCAATACGGATTAATTCCGTAAGTAGAGGGTCCACTGTATAAACCATTTCTTACATTAAAAACCCTATAAAATTGCCATCCGTCAAAGTTGACTTGCTAGTGCTTAATTTTTAAAGATGTTGCAGAAGTATGCAAAAATGAGAACTTTCAAAACATGCTGCTTTTTAGTCCTCTTCTGTTACAAAGTTAAAGAATACTCAGCAATATGTTATCTCAATTAGGCAGATAACTGGGGTTGTGATTTACAAACTACATACTGTATGTATTTTGGATAAGTCTCTTAGTCAAGTATCCCAAGAAGTTCTGAGACAGTGTCTTTGACAATAACTCTGCATGATCTTATTTGTTAGGAAAGTGCATTAAAATGAATTCAATACAATAAACACATAAGGGATTTGTTTTGATTGACTAAAAGTGCTGGATACCTTAGTGGTTTAGGTCTCCGGCTACCAGAGGTTGGGAGTTCAATTCCCCACTGTGCCTCCTTGACAGGGGCTGGACTCATTGATCCAAAAGGGTCCCTTCCAGTTCTGCAATTCTAAGATGATGATGATGGTGATTAAAACTCAACAACATCTCACCAGAGTTAATTACTTTCCAGTAACTATGCTGTTCACTTACAGGATCAGCCTGCAGGGCTAGCAACTGAGCGAGTACAGTACTTGAAAAACATGTTACACACACACACAACACCAGAGACTAACACACTTTCCTGCACCATCCAAGACAACAGAATCCTCAAGAAACATAAATGAATTCAACATTAAATGTCTAAAATACTGGAGTCTTGGTAGAAGCTATGCCTTCATCACCATAATTATTGCCAGGAATAAGGTCAACACCCCAAGCAGCTGCTAACTAGCGCTCCTCTGATTTAACAGCTGCATTGACAGACAGAGAAATCAACAGGTGAAGCTCCCTGCATCACTGCATCCCCATGCTGAGGAATGCAGCATGTGATAACCTGTCACGCAGTTGTCAAGGGACACCAAAGGCCCTTCCAGGAAAGCGAAATGAAACAAAACAATAAGGCACCGACGGCAGCTTTAAAGAGCGGCCGCGAAAAAGAGAAACTCTGCAGGAAAATGTGGTAACAAAGCAAAACCAGGTCAAGCAACCCAAAGTCCTGTGGTACCTTACCTGATGTTCTGAACATGCCCATGCATCTGAGGAAGCGGGCCACAATCCACGGGAGCTGACGGTCTACTAAAACTTGGCCGCTTTTTAAGGACTGTGTTGTTTCTGTTGCAAGGCGGGCGACCCGCTGCAAAGTGAACCGGAGATCCCAGGAAGTCGGGAAAAGGGGGGCTTTCCAACATTTCTCTCCCGACCCAGTCCTGGCTGTACATACCCTTGCTCTGCAGCTGCCACGATTCTTCACCCTCCGGAGCCCCTCAGGCACAGCTAGAGCGAGCGAGGCAGGCGCCAGCTGGTGTCCAGCAGTCCCCACTAATAATAACAGCAACGGCGGCAGCAACACGTCGCCCTCCTCCCTCCCTCCCTCCCTCCCCTCGCGCCTGGTACCAACCTTTTTGGAAGAGCACCGCGTATCCTTCCGCCGAAAGCCACAACGCCAGTTAAGAAACGGCCGTCCGTTAACGGCGGCGGAGGGATTCTCGCAAAAGAAGCCTCCGCGGAAGCGCAGGGAGGGAGTAAGCGGCGGCCGCCCGCACTCTTTGGCTGCCCTTCCCCCCCCAACACCTTCTTTCGCTTCCCCCTCCCCCTCGCGCCGCCTCACGCCGTGTTCGTCGCTCGCGGGCTCGGCGAGGCGCTGCCTAGTGGCCTCGGCTTTGCCTGCCTTGTGGAGAAGCTGCCATTAAAAAGCGGGCGGGCGGCCATCGCGGCAGTCGCCGCCGCAAGCGCCTCAGGTGGACCCACCCCCTCGGTCCCCTCCCCCCCGCCTGCCTGCCTTTTCGCTCGGTCTTTTCCTCGCCGCCTTCCCGTCCGTCAGGCAGGCAGAGAATCCGCCCGCTGTGGGATTACTCGCTCCTGCCTTTTCCCTTCCTTCCTTCCTCTCATCCTTCCTTCCTCCCTTCCCTCTCTCTCTCTCTCCCTCCCGCCCGGGTTGCCCTGTCTTGTCGAGTCCCGGCTTCCTTCCCCTCACCCCCCCTTCCACCCGCCAGGCGCAAGCCGAAGATGGCAGGCTGGCAGAGCTACGTGGATAACCTGATGTGCGATGGTTGCTGCCAGGAGGCCGCCATTGTCGGCTACTGTGACGCCAAGTACGTCTGGGCAGCGACGGCCGGGGGCATCTTTCAGAGCATTACGGTAAGGGGAGGAAAGCGGGCCCGGGAAGACCGAGCAGCAGCGGGGAGGGAGGAATGGGGGGGTGCTCAGGAGGGAAGCCATTGGATTCCCTGAAGGGAAGCTGTTGTTGGCCCCGGGAGTGGGGGCGAAGAATAGGCACAAGACTTAACAGTCCGTGTGTGTTTGAGGAATAACGAGGTGGGCGTATGATGGCCACGGGAGAATTGGGAGTGGGGGGGGGATAGGTTTGAAAGGTGGGAAGGAAGAGAAGGTGATCCAGCCTGATCTGTGGGAGGCGAGAAGCGCTCGATCCCGTGGGAGGTTTTTGCCCCGCGAGCACCCCTTTTCCTTCCCCTCCCTCCTTCCCTCCTTCCTGTTAATTCTCCTGCGCGCCCCCACCCCCACGTGTGGCTGGAGGGGGTCTTTCTCCCTCTTGTCGGAGGAGTGGGAAGGGCAGCCGGCCCTGATTCCTGCATTTCCGCCCCCCTCCTTCTCCTGCCGTTCCCTTTAAATGCATTCTTTCTAAGATGGGTGGAAAAGGTAGAAGGGATTCCCGGGGTTGGGGAGCGCCCCCCGTGCAAGAGGCTGTGCTTGCTGGTGGCCCCCTCCCCCTCGGTTTCTCGATGATCTGCTTTTGCCGCCGCCGGCCCCCCTCCCGGCTTTTCTGGTCAGCCCCCCACCTTCTTTCCTCCCCCCTGAAAACGGGGCGAGGAAGGGAGGGGCAGGGGAGGCCCAGCAGGAGGAAAGTGCCCATGCCAGCCAGGTTTCTTCCTTGCGGGGTCGTCCCCTTTTCTCCCCTCTCCCCCCCCCATATAATTCCCACCGCCGCCCAAGCTCATGACGGCCGTCAGAGCGCCTTTAATGGGCAGGCTTCGCGAAGAAGGAAAGCAGCCTGCGCTGCCCTAGGCCTCGGTGCTGCTCTTCGGGGTGGGTGGTCTTCCTTCTTTTATCTGCTTTTCCCAAGAAGTGTCTGAGGCTGAAGGATAAAAGGCCCCTTATCCTGCCGCGAGGCGGGCAGACGAGGGGAGGAGACCTGCATTTTCGGTCCTTGCCCGCTGCCCTCCTTTGGGGATCCCTCCCCAGCTGCGGAGACATGTGGGGTCAAGCTGGGACGGAGAGGTCTTAAGGCCAGCACTCCTTTGGGGACCATTTTGTACACCAGGAGGGTGTTGGGCAGTTTTTAAGTGCCAGTATCAGTCTAAGCCATAGAGCCGGCAATCTGGCGGGAGGAGGTGGAAAAAGGCCGGGCACAGGAAAGAAAGCGGGAGTCTTTGGCTCTTGGAGAGGCTTTGCGTAGGATTCCCTCCACTCTGTTCCGCACTGCTGGGGAGGGATTTGCGAATGCAGCGTAGGAGGCTTTTGTGAATCCGATCCTCGCTACTCGCTCCATGTTTTTGCCTCCAAGATGGCGCACTGCCGCTGATTTTCTTTAACCCCTCCTTCTCTCTCCCCTCTCCCGAGATATTAATCACCCCCTGTTCCTGCACTGCAGCTTCTCCTCCTCGTTTGTTTTCTTCCCCATCCCTTTGCCTCGCACTCTTCATGCTTGGGCTTTCCAAAAAGTGTTTCGATCTATGGAGAAAGAGCTTACAAAAAGGGAGCCAAAATCCCTCAAGAAGGTTCCATATTCTGGAGGCAGGGAGTGCTGAAATGTGTATTGAAATTATGTCAGTTCTTACGGAACACTCCCCTTTCATAGCCCAAACCCACTGGATGTGCAGTTTGATAATGCGTTAGAATTGGGGCGGTGGTAGTCCCCATTCCAGAGTGTGATACTGAGAGTTTTGCCATAGGTATTAGCACTGTTAAAGTATAGCCTAGTCTTGTCATGTCTGCGGCAGACATGGAAAGGGGAAAACAAAAGTGATGCTCTTGGTAGCTGCCAAGACAGTTTCTGTCCCTGTTGTGCTGCTGTATTGAACGGTAGACTCCTGGCTTGTGCTTTGAATGGCTGGGGCCTGGTATGACTCTGCAGTTCTATGGGAAGGAGATGCCTGTTCCATCCTGCTGTGTTAGAGAACACATTTTCTTCCCTTTCCCATTCTCCGTATGTATGAACATACATACATTATCTCAGGGGAAGGAGGCATATATTCATGAATGTATTATTCTGTTTCTTTAACTGCTGCTGCATGCTGAGCTGTTGCATTTTTCCCATGCTTGTGTAGCATTATATTTTCATACTAACATCTTGGGGGTTCCATAAAGCTTGTATTTCTCCTATTTTCTACTTTCTTTGGCCTAGAAGTAGCAGACGTGTGGGTTGTATAACCTGGTTGAGTAAAAAAACAGACACATACAGGAATATGAACAATATTATTTATTTGATTTGATTTGATTTATATACCGTCCATCTGGCACCCAGGGTCACTCTGGGCGGTTCAGGCATTTAGATAGCCATAGAGATATAAGTAACTTAAGTTCTTCATCCTGTTTCTGTGGTCTATTTAAAATATACACCCTCTAGTCTTCTGCCTTAAAGCTGTACCTTCTTAGCATTTAATGGAGTGGTTCTATGAGCAGCATGATTCTTTGCTACTACTGCTTCATTTTCTCCTCAAATGTTTGAGCAATCTAAAAGTCAGTGGCTGCTGATAGAGTACTTGGAAAAATCTTATTTTAAAGCTATAGTTGGGGAATATTTTAAGTGTTGTGACTTGGTATTACACAGAACCAGATTTTAAAGGACTAGCACTTTCTTTTAAATAATGCTCTTGTTACTAAGTTGGGGGTCACTATATATAGATTCTGGAGAAACCAGGTGTGAGAACATGATCTAAAACTCTCAGGACTTTTCTCTTTGGCAGCCTCTAGAAATAGATATGATTGTAGGAAAAGACCGCGAAGGTTTCTTCACTAACGGTCTAACTCTTGGTGCAAAGAAGTGCTCTGTGATCAGAGATAGCCTCTACGTGGACGGTGACTGTACAATGGACATCAGGACAAAGAGCCAAGGTGGCGAGCCAACATATAATGTTGCTGTAGGCAGAGCTGGTCGAGGTAAGATTGAGTTTTTACTAGTATTAAATTTGCTGTTTTTAAATGTTAGGAAATATGCAGATTTTAAATGAGACTGATTGGTCTGCCTAATGAGATCTGCCTGTCTACAAAATGAACTTGGCTACTTAGTTTTGTGGAGAGTATAACCACTATCCAGAATATCAGTGACTTGGCAAGTGAAATTAATTGCTTCAAACAGAAAAAAAATCATACTAGATATTATCAGTTTGGGGTACAAATACCATACAGCAAAAGTATGTGGCATTAGGGGCCATATGTACACTGTTGTGACTTGAAGTATAACTAAATAGTCCATAGATAATTTATGCTTAGATCAAGTGTTATTCCAATGCAGCTTTTCGACTTCAGGATGCCATTCTAAACAGCTTTTTTAGTATTTTTCCCATCTGCTGCAAGTCAAAATGCATGCTGGGTAGTGTTGCAAAGGAGGTTTCTGTAAAAACATGACCTTTTACAGTATTCTGTTGGACTACCCAGGTGTTCAAAGTTGTGGTTAAAGTTTTAAGTTAAGGCATAAAAACAAAAAAATGTACACTTAGTAAATATCCAAGTCTGTGATTTCTTTTTATATAAAAGGTTTGCTTTTTTATCTGAGTTAACTTTAATCAAAAGCTGCTTTGAGACATCTGTTAAAAATTCCACTCATACAAAAGTGGATGTATTTCTAAAATACTAATATAATACACTGATAACGTATTATACTATTGAGCTCAGAAGTGATATATATTTTAGTGACACCTTGTGGCATCTAGTGGTATATACAAGTGAAAATATGTACAGTATTAATGTCTGTTCTAAGGTGAATACAGTATGTGCCATTTAATTCTGTACTGTGAACAATTCAACAGAAAAGGTTCATTTCAGTTATTCCAGCTGTTCAGTATCAAACCATTGTCACTATGTTTATTTTGTGAGAGGCTGTAGTCAGAGCTTGCTCTCTCACATTATGTCATGTGATTCTCCCCTTTCAAAGAAAATGTGTTCACTTTAAACTACCACATGTGTCTGTCAAACCCTTTTTAATGTAAAAGTTTCTTCTCTTAAAAAGGACAAAAATGGCATATGGATAAAGTATTCAAATATGTGTTATTTGAATATGCTTATTGCACTGCTTAATTAAAACTTGGAGTAATTCCTTGTCTAATACACTTCTTTGTAAAACTTCTTTTCTTTTTCTCTTTCAGTCTTGGTCTTTGTAATGGGCAAAGAAGGGGTCCATGGAGGCGGATTGAATAAGAAGGCATACTCAATGGCAAAATACTTGAGAGACTCTGGGTTCTAGTTGCTAGGCAGACTGTTAAGTATTAGGGAAAATTGCTATTAAACTTTCCTGGCAGAAAGCTACATTGTGGAAACTTTATTAGCAATGCAGGGTGATGGGGTATGAACCTGTGTCTCCTTTGTATCCCTCTGTTGGTGGGGAAAGGTGTTATTCTTTCTTTAATTCTGTTCATCCTTGTTTCCTTGTGTACTCCAGCATTGGTTATGGTCATGGGAAAGGGAAGGTGTCCATGGAGGGACACTAACTAAGAAAGCTAATGAACTGGCTTTATACCTGAGGAGGTCTGACGTTTAAGCTGCCTCTCCCCATCCACATAGCAGATGTCTTCATCACCACCCTTTTGTGTTCACAGTACTACCACCCTATAGATGGCAATTTATTTACACATATTTTCCCTACTGTCATGACTCCAGTTACCTTTTTGTTTGTATGTTAATCACTGTTGTATCGACATTCTGTATCTGGCACCATCTGTTGCAACACAAAGATGATATGCATGATACATTGAAGCCTTGGGGGAGAATCATGCCAAGTCCAGGCTTTGCTTTGTCTTAGCAGTTAATGTGACATTGAGAATTAAACCAGTTTAAATTAAAATAAACAAGGTGCCGATTGTACAATCCAGATTGATCAATGCCTCTTCAGCACTTTGAGCATTTACACAGCTCATTAGTCTTCCTTTTGTAGAGCATGGTTGGGAGGGAAAAAGTGCATGCATATCTCTATTTTCCCTTGTCTTCATCTTCTCTCTCCTCTCTCTTTTTTTTTAAATTTCATCTTCTATCTATATATACATTTTTTAAATACAGTGCCTGGTTTGTTTAACCAATTTGCCGCTTGGAAACTGTTACAAGTGTTGCTCTAGTTTTGTTGTTGCTCTTCTGTGTAGACTTGCAGAACTTCATGGTGTCTGAAGCACATCTTGCTTTTAAAAGGGTAACTGCAAAACTATGAAAAGGTGCCGATGCACTTCTCCCCTCACCTCACCACAATCATTTTGAATGACTCCCAAGGGACATTCCATCACCGCAATAGCTCAGGCACATTTCTTTTTTTGTTCTTTTCTTTTTCTTTTGCCAGCTCCTGTTCTGTAGTTAAACTGTAAAAAGGCTGCCATCATGGACTAGATATCCCAGTGTAACCATCTGGAGTGAGTCCGGTTTCATTTTTTCATAGGACCAATTTTGATTTGCAGCTTGGGTTTTACATGGAAGTGCATTGTCACTGTCGACAGAACTACCACCTTCAGCTATACAGGTAGCCTAGACTGACATTGGTTTGTTAGAACATTAACTGGGAAATAAGACAAGCTGCTCCGATACCATTGTATATTTTCGAAGGCTAGTAGTTATAAAACAGTCCAAATAACTACAATTTCAGATCTGATCTTCATTTGGCCTGTCATGCCATTGCTGCAGAAATTCTGGAGTAAACTGCCTTGTGCACTAGTCATTTGAAACACATGTAACCAAATTGTCAGTTTGAGCACGGTACTAACTTGTATGTCCATTTTAAGAGAGAACTGCAGAACTCTGTATACAAAGAGAAAATGGAAGATGATCTTGGTTGGAATAACTGAGTTGGCTGTCTTGTGATAAATTTTAATGTGTATTCTGTGCCATACTAATGTTAAAAAAACAGAATTGTTGCTATTGTGAGATGGATTTTAACTGACAAGAATGAATTCTTCTGAATGGCACTACTCTAGGGACACTAGTATTTGCTTCTATTGTTCGGGCCTTGTGGATAATGTACAGATTTTAAAAAAACAAATTCTTGTTGCTGATTTGTCCATTTGATTTCCCTGCACTTTGTTACATCTGGGATACAGTCTAACTCATCTGATTTAATATGCATTTCAAAAAATGCCATAACTATTAAACACCTTGTTTACAGACAGATGAAATAAATTTATTCCAACCAAACAAAATGAGTTAGTGTGTTGTGTGGTTCCAATTTTCCCCACTTCCAAACACTGCTCATGCTGTGGCCTTTGTGGTTGTCTATTTTTAGGATCAAGTATAATGCTTTCAGTTCCATGGCCTTCTAATACTGCAGAGAAGGTTATTGAGTGTTGTCGGGACACCAAAGCAGACCATTTTGAGTGAAACTTCTTATAGAATGGGGTTATAAAGATTATTACATGGGTTGTGAAGATACTTCACTAGTTTTCAGTAATAAAACTTGATGCATGATGTATTCCATTACCATTGGAAGACTTAGTTTCTGTAAATGGGAGGGAATATTCTGAGACAGCATATGATTTGGTAAAAAAAACTCATCTTGGACATATTTCTTGTTTAAGAGTGAGAATTGCCTCTAAAATGTTATCTCCACTGAATTCTTTCACATATGTAAAGGATGCCATTATTCAGAAATAAAATTTTGTGGGCTGTCTTTTCTTGTTTCTCCGTTCTGAAGACTGGTGAGTCCATCTTAGATGTTCTGCTACAGCAGGTCCATAGTTAAAACACAATTTAACACAATTTTCAGCCCAGTAATAGCAATAATGTGCCATCAAATTGGTTCTGACTTAAACTGGCCTTTTCAGAGTTTTCTTGTTTTAAAGTCCTCAGAAGTGGTTTACCACTCCCCTTTTCTATTTTTGCTCTGGGCATATGGTGCTTGCCAAGGTTGCACACATGGCAGGGCTTGCAATCCCATCAGCCACACATACTTCCCAGCAGATCTCCTGGGAAATATAATGGGATTCAAACTTTCTAATCCTGGCTCAGCAGCCTGGTGCTCCAACCCACTGAGCATTACTAGCCATGTGAAGATTACTCTTCAGCCGAAACTATTTATAAAATTGATTGTGGAGTTTCTTGTCCCTTTTTGGTCAAAAATCAAATAGGTTTTGATTTTATAAAGGAGAATAGAACACACCAGTGTGTTGTAGTATAGAGTGATGGATTAAGACTCAGGAGATGTGGGTTCAAATCCTGCTTGGTTAGGGACACTTGCTGGAAGAGTGGTAATGGTAAAATTACTCATCTCACATACCTTAAAAATCATGTTAGCCTCAATGTAAGTCAATTGCAGCTTGATGGCACATAATATATGAAGGAGATTGAAAGTGCTTTGTGTATTCATGCTGTTGTATAGGACAGTATTGGAGAAAGCATAGTTGGCTTTATCTTGAGTTTATATGTGGCTAGAGGAGCATCTGGAGATAATTTGCCATAAGCAATTGCAAAATCACATATCTTTGTAATATAGTTCTACTCTTATATTAATTTCTTGAAAGTATGTTCTGTCCATGACAATTTATCAGTGTTCATTGGGCACATGCATGTAGTCAATCTGCAAATCACATGTCTTGATCCCAGTCTTGAAGATGCATGGAATATCTAGTGGTGTTATTAATTGGTCACATACTTTTTGTGCCTTTTTAATGGAATTGATGAAGGATCTAATTGAATGACAGAAATGTTTGATAAAACTTGCAGAAATGATTGTAAAAATTATGCCTTTTTTTTACAATCCATAAATACGTTGTAACAGGCAGTACTTAAGAAGCTTTCCTGTGTGAAAGGAAGGGGTGTTTCAAAATGATGCTTTCCCTCACTTTTATATGCATCTTAGATACATTAATATTTTTGCATCTTTAATTATAGATACGTTCTAGTTAATTGGGCAAAGCAATCCTATTGAGAGAGCAGACCAGAGAGAGGCAACAGTAGAAAAACCATAACTTTTGTGCTATGCTTGGTTTATACTGGTGAAGGCAGGAGGTCAGATTCTTTTTCCTCATCAGTTTTCTCATGGGGCAGCTACAGCAGCAGACGTCTGCTTGTTGAGGGGTGAGATCTTGACAATTGGCTACCCTCCATCTGCTGAGGAGCAGGTCCCTAGTAACCTATTGCCCTTAAGATGTTCTACTGAGAGGATTACAACATGTTGCGGCTCTGGCTATAAATTCTTAGGTATTTTGACATAAATGAAGTACCGTATTTTTCGCACCATAAGATGCACTTTTTTCCCACAAAACAGGGGGGTGGAAAGTCTGTGAGTCTTATGGAGCGAAGAAAACAGATTATATTTTCCTGTTTTCTTCTCCTAAAAAATTGGTGCATCTTATGGAAAGGTGCGTCTTATGGAGCGAAAAATACGGTAACTTCCCTCTCCATCTGAAGTATATAAAGGATTCCTGGCAAATTTTTGCTTCTGTTTCCAAGATATGAGAGTTGAGACAAAAACAGTTAAACCTATCTCGCATATTATACTATTATGAGATGTGTTGTACAACATCGTGATAAAAAAAAACATTTACATGGGTCTGTTCTCATAATAGACAAGTGATCAAAAAGTGATCATTGTGGGATGGAAGGGACATAAATACACTTTTATCTCATTGTTCTGTTAATGTTAGTCTCATTATTGATGCGCAATCTTGTTAAGCTTAACCATCCATAGGACAGTTATTAGGAGTATGGCTAATACTGCACAATATTCACCTGTCCAGTCAGATTTCTTCTGGCTTTGTTTAGTAAAGGTAAAGATTCCCCTTGACATTTAGTCCAGTCGTGTCCGACTCTAGGGCATGGTGCTCATCCCCATCGCCAAGCCTTAGAGCTAGCGTTTGTCCGTAGACAGTTTCCATGGTCACATGGCCAGTGCAACTAGACACTGTACCTATTTATCTACTTGCATTTGCATGCTTTCGAACTGCTAGGTTGGCAGGAGCTGGGATGGGAGTTCACTCTGTTGCAGGGATTTGATCTTACGACTGCTGGTCTTCTGAACTTGCAGCACAGAGGCTTCTGCGGTTTAACCTGCAGCGCCACCACGTCCCTTTGTTTAACCAGTGATAATTTCCTCCTCTCATACTGCAGTGAGGCTGCTTTTTAAAAAGTTTCCATTGCTACTAGTGGAAGGTGCATTTATTATCTAATTGGAATGTAGGGGGGGAACATTTTTGAAGATTGCTGCTGGCTAGTAATGGGCTAACCCTAACCACACCTCCATCTGCAGCAACAGCAAAGCTTTTTATATAGATGAATGAATGAATAGGTCTGGCCAATTATGGGGCTATGCTACAGCAGGGAAGTATCCCCATTCACTCACAGCATTTGGCTCCCTATGTTGCTTCCCTAGAACCAACCTGGCCCTTAGGACAAATGAGTTCATCACCTATGCCATAAATTCTTCCTTTCACATTATATGATAACAAGTAGATGGATTTTCAAGTGGCTGTTTATTCTTCCCTGGCTAATGAAAATGATTGGTGTCTGTGACAAGTGATTTACATTCTTGTAATGAGCCTCCAGATGTTGATACTTCCCTGTAGGCCGTTGAAACAGATATAAATGGGCCTGGTAGGCATAGAGAAAATTCAGTAGTTTTGGGAAGATGAGTGTCACTTGTGTTTTAATGTTCTAACTATTCCTTCCTTCTCACCTCAGCTCTAGATTGCACCACTATGCATGGGGAGGACTTCAGTTGTAATAGTTCAAATCTAAAGAGGATTCTCCTGCAACAGACCAAAAATTGGTCTGCCTCTCAATTCTGTCCTGACAGTGGCTGACTGTATGTTCAAGGGAAGATGGCAATTAGGATGTGAGCAGACCAGCAGCTTCCTCCTTGTGTATCCCAGCAACTGCTGTTGAGAGGCATACTTCCTCCAATAGTGGCAATAGCATGTAGCCATCATTACAAGTCACTATTGATAGCCTTATTTTCCATCAATTTATCTACAAATTTACTTTACAAACCATCCTAGGTAGGGACCATCAATACATCTTGTGGAAATGATTTCTGCAATTAAATGTGTGTTCTGTGACAACATTTTTGCCTTAGGCAGTCCTGTATCTTTTACCTTTCAGCTTCATGTGTGAAAAAACCCTGTTGAGAATTTTCATTATAATGTGTATTCTCATAAGCAGAGTAAGAAGATATTGGTTAGCAGAGATACTTATAACACTTTGAAACTGAGAGAGTAAAACCAACAACTTAGTCTATTTACATATATACATAAAGAATATGTATATATGTTATGCTCTGGCAGCATAACATGACATGAAGCAACACAAGCATAGGAAAAAGTTATCTGACATACGGCAGATAAATACATTCATTTTACACATGACTTATCTACAGTTCTGTGACCAATCAGAAAATACATTACTTCATTTGCTGTTACACAAAGTTTCACCATGTACCACACCTGTACAACATTATGTCTTAATCCTTGATAACCACACCTGAAGACAATCTACAGTGACTCAGGTAAAATCAGCCATTTTACATTTAACTATACAACATTAATATTTAATACATATCAAAATCTCAAACCCTGCTCCCTACATACATTATGTGTTTGAATCATGTCTTGTGGTTTTCACACTAAATTAAAATACTTCAGTGTTGTAAACTTTCTTTGTAAGGGAAAGATTCCATCCCCTTATTTATTTTAGTTGCCCTTCCTGTACCTTTTCCAGCTCTGGAATATCTGATATTTGGTCAGCATTCGGCCAGCACTGATGAGAGTTTTCTGCTAAAAATCTGAATTCAAAAGTCTTCTTGTGCCTTAAACAGAGCATGATCTAATTTAGCATGTATTTGACCTATATTTACTAAACAAAACTTTTTAATGTTACAGTAACCCATAAGCATTTGAGTGAAAATTTTGATTAAAACAGCATACTTTAAAAGGTTTAAATATTTTTATAAGCCTAAAAGGGAGAATTAATCTAAGATTGAAGTAAATATGCTTTATTTTATTAAGCAGGTGGATGATGTGACAGAATCTGTTGTACTTCAATAGAGATTTTGTCAGATCAGCAGAGGGCTGAAAAATGTTGGCTTAATAGGATAAAACATGGCTATGTGAACATTCTGAGACCTGCTCTGTCCACTTTTTTGCCTTTTAGGTACCGTATTTTTTGCACCATAAGACGCACTTCCCCCTCCAAAATGTGGGTGG